CAGCAGCAGCAGCAGCAGCATTAGTAGTCATCATTATCACTGTGTATTAAGCAACATTTCAACATGCACGTTACCTTGTGAAGAGCATGGTTTGGGTTCAACAGAGATATTTGCTTGTGAATCCTTTGCAGCTAGCGCTACGAGATTTTCCACTTCCCTGTGAAATTTAAAAAATCAAACAAATTAACAAATACTTTTACAAATTAACTAATATTTATGTATAAGTATGTAGCTGTATAATCATGGACTTCCGACGAAAGATAACACTACTGGCTTACTCATAATTGCAAAACTGCGTTCAGGTACTGAGCCACGTTCTTCATCTGAACTGGTGTTGTTTTCAGCTAATTGCAATACGGTTATCATGGTACAACAACAGCAACAACAACAACAACAACGATAACAACAAAATAAAAGCACCACAGCAACCCCCGTGAGGTTGGAGGTCATGGTCGACTATTCTCTGTCGTTTTCCACGTTAACATATATCGTTGCTTCAGACATCGCTGGAAGAACTGTTTCATAGTAATGGTTTTCCAATTGCAATTCTTCTAATTCGTCCAGTRTTAAAGCGAATGCCTGAAACCTGTAATATGCGCATTAAGCGCCCGACATTCGCTAAACGTAAATGATCTAGGCTATTCTATATACTCTATATTTTATWTTTTATTTTTTATTATTTATCTATTTATTTAATTTTCCCATAGTTAGCGTGATAACYTATGTATAGTTCCTGCTGACAATAAAATGTAGATGTAGATGTAAATTACATTCGTTTGTATAGATCAGATTCTAAATACTTACACAGGAAACACCCCAGTCTCTTTATGTTTCTTCAATATTGCAACACAGTTAGTGTGACGCATGCCAAAGGGACTACTTATCTTGGGTTTGTTAAGTGTTCTGTATATAATTCATATCATTAGTATGTAAAAAAAAAGAGGAAAGAATGCAGAGTGTCATGCAGGCAGTCAGGAAAGTTGGGAGTTAGGATGGAAAGAAAGCAGAGTGGCATGGTGGCAACATATCAGAATTGCAAGGATGCAAGGAGGCAAGGAGGCAAGGAGGGAAAAAAAGCTAAGAGTAGCAGAAAGAGTAGTAAAGAAAACGGGTTGACAGAGAAATAGATTGGTAATGGGAAGAGGGAGGCAGACAAGCGACGATTATCGAGATGTGACATAAAAACGAGGCATCTTCGGGCACAGTTCATAAGGAACCTTTGGAAACCATCGAGTTATAGTCGATTTTTAAAATCCTTGAAGAATTTTCTTAAAATTGAGCTATCGTTTCATCAAAAAGTAATAAACATAATCTATAATTGTTGTACGGTTTTCCATAGCGAACATAAGACCTTGCCCGAAAATTGCAAGTTTTCGAATCTGAGTACGCGATATACTCTTAGCAGCGTTGAGTAGCGAAAAATCTACTAACTGAACTGTACAAAATGCTGTATTTCCACTCACAATTCTACTGGTGCAATCTTGAAACTTATGTTTTCTTCATTGACATATCCTAATTCAGCTTTGTCATTCTGACACAAATACTTGTTCGTTCCATATCTTAAAAAAAAGAAAAGAAAACACAACAACAGTGATTAGGGCGGGATGCTTTTTGGGAGACTTTTTAAAAGGAGATGRATAAAGCAAAAGAGAGGAACCAAAGAACTACAAAAAACAAACATAAAAAAGGAGGGAAGAAAGTAAGTTAGAAGGGGTGCTTTTTTTATAATTTTGTGTTTTTTACCTGTCTATTATGGTAATTTTTGTCCCTTTTTGAAACATAAGATCTTTTTTCCTGACTGTCCAGACAGTGTGTTTTGCTGATGCAACCACTGGTTTTGCCTGTATATGTACATAACACATATTTTAATATATATATATATAATTTATAATATAAATATGTTAATAGTAATTCTTCTTGTTATTTTTGCAGTATCCTGGAGCCTAGGATAAAGCTATGACGTAATCATGTAATCGAGTGTGATCATATGTGTGCGAATGTGTGCGAATGTGTGCGAATGTGTGAGCATTAAAGATTGTTATGCAACCACATATTGGACTCTTGTGTCCCTTTAGATGACAGATCTAACATTGGCGACGAGGAAAACAAGTGAGAAATATGAACTGACGAATCCTCAAAAG